TCGTCGTAGGTACAAATTAGATTTGAGATTGTAGAAGAATCTTTGATCTCAAATCGTATTTTTTTTTAGAAAACAAAACAATTTCATAAAAGAAATATTTTATTTTTTATTTGAAAGATTTGAGATCTTAAAAGAATCTTTAATCTCAAATCGTATTTTATTTAGAAAATAAAATAATTTCATAAAAAAATATTTTATTTTTTATTTGAAAGGTAACATATTTCTAATAACTTGAAAACATATTTTTTTTGTATTTTTTTAGAAAGAAAATTTTATATTTTATTTTGGAAAAAGAGTTAAACAGAAAAAAAAATTTATTTTGAAAGTGATTTGACATTTTTTTTTATATTTTATTTTAAAATATTTAACAACCTAAAAATTATTTTATTTCTTTTTTTATTTTTACTAAAAATAGTTTTTATTTTTTATTTATTTAACAAAAAAACTAGTTTTTATATTTTATTTAAAATGATAATTAGGATGCTTAATTGAAAAATAGTTTTTTATTTTTATTTTATTTTTTTGCACAATAAGGTGATGCTCTAAGAAGAAAAAACACAAAGGGAAAAAAAGAAATAAAAAAAAGTAAAGAAAAACTACGTAAACAGAAAAAGCACTAAAACAAAAAGAGAAAAAATGAATAAAATAACAAAAGAGAATGAAATGAATCAGTAATAAGACATTAATGCATGTTTTATAAAAAAATAGACAATATAAGAAAGGAGTCAAAAGTCGTACCTTTTGTGTGAAAGATTGTATGTAAAAAAAGCTCTCTTCAAAATTCTTCATTTAGAAAACTCTTCCAAAATTTCTTTTTCTAAAATTCTTCCACGTGGAAGAAATTTATGTCCTTGTGTATGCAAGTTAGCCACTATTTATAATAGGATTAGTATCTAATAAAATAAAATTAAGTATATTTTTTATACCTTGATTATTTTGATTTTATTTTATATATTCCTAAATTAACTAAAATTAAAAATAAAAATAATGATTATTATTTGCAGAATATCTTTATGATTTTTATTAATTATATATCTTTTTAATTACCCTTTTTTTTGTTTATGAAATTCATTATTTAAAATCCGCGACTTAGGCAAAAATGAGTATTCACATCGGTAAAGATTAAATTAACATAAAGGCACACAGTAAGAGTATTTCTAGGCTCAATAAATTTAATGTATAAAGTATGCTCAATTGGACATCTCTAGAAACTATTTTGCACAAAAAATGAATCTTCTTGTACCAAAGCTTTGGTGCTTGTTTCAAATCATGCAATGTTTTCTTCAATCTGTAAACTCTATCTTCCTTTCTCTCAATCACATAACATAAATGTTGCTCAACATATACTTTTTCCTCTAAATTACTATTTAGAAAAGCAAAATTTATATTCATTTGATATATTTTTTCAATTATTTTGAGTTAAGATAGATATAATCATACAAATTGTATCTAATCTTGCAACAGGAATAAATACCTCTAAATAATAAATACGTGGCTTTTGTTTGTATCCTTTTTTCACCAACCTAGTTTTAAAGCAATCAATCTCACTATTAGATTTGTACTTTGTTTTGTACACACACTTCACTCTAATTGGCTTCTTATCTATTGGCAAATTTGTAAGCACTGCCTTTCGTTCTTCTCAATTTCATGAATTTCAGCATCCATGGCTTTTCTCCTATTATGATCATTTGCAGCTTCTTCAAAAGTCAATGGCTCACAATCTACAAATAAAGTAAAGTTGATAATTTATTCATTAGATGAGTCATTATTGTTACCCACAATATAATCTTTCAATTTGGCTGGTAGTCTTCATTGCATTTGTGATCTGTTAGATGTCTCTAGTTCATCAAGTTCTGGATCTGTGTACCTATTCTACTTTTAATAACTGCTTGGAATCATCATTGATTGCTTTTGGACTTTTAGAGACCAATCTCATATTCTTTCTTCATCAAATGTCACATCACAGTTGATAATCACCTTCTTTGTCTCCATATTGTAAAGTTTATATGCCTTTGAATTTGTGCAGTAGCTAATGAACATACACTTCTCTCCTTTATCACCAAGTTTCTTTCTCAATTGATCTGCTACATAGGCATAAGCTATACGCTCAAAAAATTTGAGATGTCAGATTTATAGTCTCATTCTGCTCCAAGCTTCTTTAGGAGTCTTATCATGAATACTTTTAGTTGGATACCTATTCAGATATAGGCAGCAATAGCAACAACTTCTGGCCAAAATTCTCTTGGCCTTTACTTAACTCTTAACATGCATCTCACCATATCCATAATTATCTTATTTTTCCTATCAACAACTTAATTCTGCTAGGGAGTGTATATTTTTTTCAGTTGATGATGAATTTCATGTTGCTCAAAGAAATCTGCACAGTCGATGTACTTTTGGCCTCTATTTGTTCTCAAAACTTTAATTTTGCAACCAATTTGTTTATACACTCACGTCTTTCTGCTAAAACTATCAATAAAGGTATTGAAATATCTGTTATCACCATGAGTTGGAATCTCGATTGTACATTAGTTTGAATTTACAATTTCCAACAACTGCTTATTTCTCCATGACTTTTCTATAGAAAATGATTCTATGTGTTTCTTTTCCAATTAGAAGTCTCACATACACTATTGAGAATATTTACAACAAGCAAACCAGAAACATACTTTTGCTTTGACAGGTAGTTCAATCCAAAAAAAGGAAAGTATCCAAAACACATGCCACAACCAATCATCATTTGGTGTGATAGATTTGAAGAATATTTTTCATGTCAAATTTTCAAAGGAAATAAATGATTTGGAGTTGTTTTTACCTTTGCAATAAATCTCTTGTTTTTGTCAATCAACTTGCAGTTTCTATTATGAATATGCATGTTGTAGCCTTTCTCTGATATTTGTCTGATGCTTAATACATTGTGGTTAAGATTAGTAGCATAGAAAACATCATAGATAAAATTCTGAGAACCATCTTTCAATCTAAGGATTTGGCCTTTCCTCAAAAATTGAAATATCGGTGTGTTGCCAAATTTTACTATAGACTTCATTAATTCATCTAGAAAAGAAAATAGAACCTTTTTTTCAACATATGGTTACTACACCTAATATCTAAATACTAGATTTTTCATTTTCTAAAAAATTGTTGCTTGCCAAAAATATATTTTGTGGGTTGTTTGAATTATCACCAATATCTATAATGTTAGCATGTTGTTAGAATCTATAATTTGATGCTTTGTGACTAAACTTTTTGCAATAAAAGCAATTAAAATTACTTTCTTTGTAAAAATTGTTTCTACCTCTTCCACGGTTAGCAAACTAAGAATTATTTTCATCTCTTTCTTGAGTGTATGGTTTGAAATTATTTTTTCTCCATTGGCTATGTACTTTTCCTCTAAAATTATCATGACCTCTACATATGAATTTACCTTTTCCTCTATTGTTGAAATTATTACCACGTCTATTTTCTTCACTTTGACTATTTTATGCTATGTTGTTGAAATTTACCTTAACTTTTCACTACTTCTTCATTTATCTTCTTTTTTTTCTCCAATATTCTTTTTACACGACTTTCAATACTTCCCTACAATTCTACTTTTGACATAGTGTATATATTGTGAGACTATGTTATTATTGTCACCACATGATCATAATTGATAAAAAAATATATATAAAATTTTCTCCACAACCTTATTGTTTGGTATCTCTTCTCCATACATTCTCATTTTATTGACAAGATCAAGTAATACAAATAAAATATTGTTCAAACACTTTTTAAGTTGGACATCTCTTATTTGTCATATTCTCTCTATTGGGATGATAACTTAGAAGTTGTGTCTTTTCTTTTTCTTTGTATGACAACTTGTCTCATGCATTTTTGACTACTTTGCAATTTGTTATTTTACTAAAAATTGAATAATCTACTTCTTGTTGAACTTGTGATAGCGCTGACCAGTCATTCCTTTGATTTTCTGCATCTCCTCCTTGAGGTAAACATGAGTTAACAAAACTCCAAATATTATAAACCGTTAAATGAGTGATAATTAATAATCCCCTATAATAAAAATTTCTATCTAATTTTCGATCTGACCTTACAATATCATAATTGTATGCCATCTCTCTCTTTCTGTAACATTATTCATCGGACCTTTACTTTATCTATTCTTTTTTCTCTTATTCTATCCGTTTTATACAAAGTTACAAATAAGGTGTAAGAGTATAATTTTCTTATGACTCTGGAGCGAACATGAAGACCTCTCGTTTAGGTTATATACATGCACGTTTAATAAATTTAAAGAAAACATGGGATTTTAAATGAATAAAGAAAAAGCGGGATAGAACTTTTTAAGGCCTTCGGTGTGTCATGAAAATGTTTACTGGCCACGGCAAATAATCAGGTCGTAATCAAAATTAACCATTTAACCAAATCACCGATTCTTCTGTTTCTCTCTGGTTTCATGTGCGTTTGTTGTCCTCTAAGGTTCACAAATGATAGTTTTCTGTACCTATTAACAAGCTTAATGATAGAGAAATGGTTGGATTTCCATATTCCAATAGTACTACACACGAAAAAAATAAAAAGCAAAAGAAACAAATCTTAAATATACTTCCCTCATTCCTTTCATAAGTGTTACGTTTATAGTATATGTTATTTTCCATGCACTTCCCTGTCATATGTACAATGGAATTGTTAAATCAGACCCAACAATGCTCTTACCTAGAATCTAAAAGCTAGCTGGTAAAAAGCCAAGCTGAGCCTCGACTGTCTTAGAGAATACAAGTGTTTTTCGATATTTACCTAGAACAAACCTTTTACCTGGGTCTAAAGCCCTAAACAACTAGTCTAAATGACAATATTTTCTGTAAAATATTTAAATTAATCAGCAACTGCCATAATTTTCATTTGAACTCTTTCCCAGCAAATATTATTTAGTGTATGAAGAAATTGTCTCAAAGCGAAAAAAGATAAACATGCACGAGCACGCATATATAACATATACTACGAAAAAGACAACCAACTGAAATATGGGAAATCACGGGAAACAAACAGGAAACACGAACAAGCCAAGCTCCATTCGAGAGTCTAATGTTTTGTGGAGCATGGACAACTGGAAATAATAAATATCACTGTGACCCAGTGAGCATAAAGGGATAATTGTATTTAAGAGTTATTGACATGGCGCCATTCAAAGCCTAAGGCTTTCTTAATCCCTTGGAGAGAGTAAACAAAATTAACACGGCTTGCCAATGGAGCAGTTCCAGATTTTCCACAAGTGAAAGAGAGGGCGGTGTAGAGGGTTTATCATTATTGGACTTATTTTTCGCGCCCATTGGAGGATTGCCGTGCAGCTCAACATTGTCAGCACTGTTACTGTCTTTGAAATCTTTGTTTGGATTGACGCCCTCATTTCCAACAGACAGTAGAGGGCCATCTTCTGGCGTTGCACTTTCAGGCAGCGGTGAAAGATTAAGATCAATAACAAACTTTGATGTCTTCTCTTTTCCATCAAATGTTTTCTCTTGGTCGATTTCATGAACTCTAACGATGCCGCTTCCATCTTCAGGAACAACATTGACATCCAATGCCCAACTGCCAATATCTCTATTTTCTTGCTGCAATAAAGTAAGGATACATTAGCACTAATTGTATTGCATAGTGAATAGGCTTATCCATGCATACATAACCAAATTATTATTACAGCTTGCTATGTCATTGTCACTCTCCAAGCTGACAACAGGGGACTTTTTTTTCACTTAAGTATGATAAATTGAGTGACTGTGTAATATCAACGATGCAAAAATTTCTATTATATTTTCAAAGAGAATTTCATTGAGCAGTCTCAGTATAGAGGTGTTAATGTCATCACCAATAACATCTAAATCATACTGTGAATAAAATTGTAGAAAATTATAATGCTCTTGTATATTTTAGTATTATTAACTTCCAATCAATATTCTAAGAGATGGAAAAGGAACATACTTATCATATGTTTGTGGGCCAAATACAAAGTAAAGTAATTTTATGCATGTCATAATACCTTTTGAGAATTTGACACTGTTGTGTTTACTGAGTTACCAATCTTGCATTCTCCAAATACACCCCATAAGAATAACGGTGTATTGCGGCCTGCCAAACACAAAAGAAATAGCATAGGGTAGAAATAGAGAATTGAATGCCAAGTGCAATCTTACTTTAGTCAAAATATAATCTTCTAAACATAGATGAGAAAAAAGTAATTTCTTACTCTCGGATTTCTCAGGCAGAACATTGGACGAAAAAATTAGAAGTTCGACCCCATCCAGATTTCCTTTGAGAGCCAAATCATTCTTGCTCATGTATTCTATCAATCTTCTATAATATGTTCCACAGCTTTTAAAAAAAATGAATAAGTCAACAATATAAAACTGATTTTATTAGTTACAAAAAGAGAAGGGAAAAAGAAATACCTATAAAGGTCGTTTGCAAAAAAATATAGAGCAATATTTTCTTCTGTTGCTTGACTTTCCATAAATTGCGATGGCCACATCTTCCTGCGAGGTAGTTCCTCTAGTACAATAATATCAGGAAGTCTATCAACTACTTGAACAACTTTCTGCGATGCATAAATTGACAAATGAGCTTGTATCTCCACACAAGTACATGCAATACCCTCAACTCTGTGAATCTGAAATTTGCCTCTGCACAAATCATCAGACATAACGACACATGAAAAATCTCAAAATGGTGGACCCTTAAAGCGATAAAGTAAAGAAGTTAGACTGAAGGCAAATAAAAGGGGCCATACTGCCATATGCAATCAGGAATTGGGACGAAAAAGTCATTAGAAAGAGTTGCCGCTTCAAACTGGGAGCCTAATTCATGTAATTTCATAGCTGTAGCAGCTTCAATGGGCCCCTCAGCTTGCAAGCTCTTATTTTTAGTCTCTTCATTTAGACAGTTTAGGTCTTTATGAGTTTTGTTACTGTTTGGTTGTATTGGACAACCTAGCTGCCCACAGCTTTGAACAGCATCAAGTCTACAACAGTTGGATCCTGAAATGAAAGTTTCATTACAAGAAATAGTTTTGTTCACACATTTTGCAGCTGCAACACCAGATTCAGAAGCTAGTAAGCACATCGCAGGATTATGTGACGCAGATACATATTTCCCTTTAGACGCCTTTGTTTCTTCTGCAGAGCTTGAATTCTTCAATACCATAGAGCGATTAGCATTTGGTAAGATAACTTCAGAACCAGTGCCATTTAATTTTGCTGATCTAGCACTATTCAATGACACAGGTTTGGGCACCAATCCAAGATTTTTTTCTTCTCTAATATCATGAATAGCTATATTTTGCTCAACGCTCTGCTTTTCCAAATAACCAACCTTTGCCAGCTGTTCTTTAAATTTTATATCTGCAGTTTTGGATGATCCTGACTTCAACAAAGAGCCTACACAGAAACCTCAAAGTTTAAACAATATTTATCTCAATTAAATAACCAAAACAAAAATCTTTTGCCATTGTGTCATATATGTCTTACATTTATCAGTTTCTGTCGCAGTTTGTGAGCCCAATGTTGGTGATGCATTTCCTAAACGAGAGGGTAACTTCGGTTTTCCCTGAGAGCCGTAGGAAGATTGCTTCACAGAATGCACACTAGACGCAGCCTCTAACTTTTTGAATGGAGGCTCCTTACTTAGTAAATTTTGGCTGGTTGGTTCGGATGCTTTGGGGAATGTGGCTCTTGTTTCAAGAGCCATTCTTTTATTAGCTAACTCAATTTCTGAGGTGCGTGCACTTCTCTTATCACCACAAGCATGTGGAACCTTCGCCTTCTCTTGGGAATTGCAAGAAATTTGGAGCTTAGAAGTAATATTTTTGGTTGCTTTTTCCTTTTCATTTTTCAAATTCTTTCTTGAGAACTCCCTTCGCTGTAGAGTGTTGTAGCAGGGTTTGCATGGCACAGGGGGTTCAGCACTCATTCTGATAAACCTGTCTTTTTTCACAGACTGAACTTCTGAAGGGACACTGTGTCTCTCAGCTGATGAATGAGATGTAGAACTTACACCTTCTGTTTGCCTTTTCCACGCAGGGGGAGATTTAAAATTTAAATTTGAACTACCCCCAGATTCAAGATTTACTGGAATTTCAGAAGTTTGGCATTGTGACTTCACCATGCACTCTTCACACATCCAGTCACCTTCAGGAACTTTGTCCAGCTTATCATGCATACAATAACTGGTTGATGTATGAGAATATAACCATATCATTTCACTTACAGATAAAACAAGAGACTACAAAAAATATATAACAATGCAAAATATTAAATATTTACATGTGTTCTGCACCATCTTTACACTTCTTACAAATAGCAAGGAAGTTTTCCCGCCCTACATCCCCACAGATATCACATACTGTAACCTGTTATCAAGTGGAAGCCAAAAAGCTATATAAATCCATCCTGAAACAAGAAAAAAGAAAAATTTGACGTGGTATCTATACATCTTTAACATGTGTTGTAGTGGCAGTAGTTTATCCTGATGAATGACAGTAGTAGACACAAGAAAGTAACAATTGAATATGAAGGAAATTGTCATCAACAGAGCTTGATGATGAGGTACACACACACACACACACACACACGTACAATCAGAAGAAAAATAAAGATCCTTGAAATAAGACACTAAAATAGCACAGCATGCCAAAACAGAATGGAAAGGATTCTGTAGAAGACCCAAGTTTGTCCAGAGAAAAATTTAGTATGGGATAGATAAGTAACTTTTGAATGGTATGTAAACAATAGAGAGAGAGAGAGAGGGGGGGGGGGGTGTAAAGATCTATAGGATACCCCATATGATAGCTTTTAAGGCAGTAAATACTAAGGAGCAAAGTACTGCAGGAGCAAGAACGGGGGAGAAGCCACAGATGATCCAAGTTGCCGAAAGAGAAAGTTCACACTGGAGCACATTATTCTTGCTATTAAAAATAGCAAATAAAAAAATAGTTCACAATACATTGCAAATTCATTGCAAACTTTCAGTTCACCATATGACTCTAGTACTTAACTCACACACACATGCTTTGTATCAACAATTGGTGAGGTTTCAAGTTCAGCCAGATAACCAGTTTCTTCTCCAGCATTCAAGCAAGACCAATGACAATAATTTTGTGGCAACTACAAGCAAAATAAGGTTCTCCTGAATTTGGAAACGCATTAGCATTACAACATGTGATTCAAATACAGTATGACCAATACTTTGGTAAGTAATTGGGCATAGACTTTAAATATTTTCTAATTAAACAGTGTGAAACCCAAAGGTTCTGTGTTACCAAGTTCCCAAACACAACTTAGTGGTTTATAATATTTAACTCTTCCTCTAATTTTTTATTGATATAAAAATGTAAAGTTTCAATGATCAAAGTCTCAAAGTAATTCTTATCTTTACTGGTTATAACCAGTAGGACAAGATTGGGTAGCCAAGATTTTATTTTCATTAATTTGAAAACAAAGTACAATATGCTAAAATTTGATTTCAAATACAATACATCTCTATCAGGAATAGACACAGCATAATCAGAACAAATAGGTCCACAAAATATCTGATGCAAAAACAAGTGAGGTAAATAAACACTGAAAAAGCCTAGGCTTACAAGGGTTGAAAACCAAAATGCATATTGGTTCACCAAAAAGAAACTCATAAAACCTAGAACCAGTTCACATTTATTGAACTCTCGTCACATATGAATCTTGAAGCATGTTAATCTATCAAGAATAGCCAGTGTTTACGTCTTCTATTTACTGAAAAGGCAAGTTCGTCCTTTATTAATTTTGCCACTGTCAATCATCAATTGGAACAAGGTGGCAGAATTTTGGCAACTTGTGGTACAGGACAGAGGCCAACAGTGGTCGGGGGTTTGTTGCAAACAATGATGTAATGATTGTTTTTAATAACAAAGAAACAAAATGAAGTGTATCAAACATTTCATATGGCAAAAAATGGCGTAAACCCATCTCCCTTGGCAGAGGCCCCACAACCAGCTTAAGCATACTAAAAGTACTGAGACCCATTCTCATTCAGGCAGAAGACAAGTCATGATTGATGACATGATTTCTATTCGGCATAGGGGTATGTGGGACTTAGTTGTTCTTCCCCTAGAAAAAGCAGTTGTACTTTACCAGTGGGGTATATGCAATAAAGGTAGGCTGGCTTAGAGGGTCAAACTGACTGTCTTGAGCTTGGGATGAAGTAATTCGCTTCCTACATGTCTCTTGTATGAAACAAAGATCATAAATTGAGTGGAATTTTCAAATACAGATTGAACAGGATATCTTGGTGATAAAATGATTTTCTGGAAAAGCAAGAAACATAGTGAAGCTGCAAGATCAAGTGCAAAGGCATAATATCAAGCCATAAATTCAGGCACTTAAGAACTTATTTAACTCAAACAACTACTCAAGGAGCTAAGATTTGGGAAGATTGCACCAATAACATTAATTTGTAATAATTAAACAGTCTTACATATTGCCTTAAATCCAATATTTCATAAGAATCTAGTATACTAAAATATACTAAAATAGATTGTTACTTCATTAGAGAGAAAATTTTATTCAAAAACATCACCACTGGTTTAGTTAACTCAAACAATCAACTGGTAGCGAGGTTTTAGATATCAGGTTGAAAATATCCTTTCAAAGTCTCTTCAAGTTTAGTATATATGATTTATATGCTCCAATTGGGCGGGAGTGTTGGAAAGTGTCGCCTAGTAAGGGAAATATCTTCTATTTAGGGATTCTATATTTGGATGCATATCTTTTGTAAAATATTAGGATAGGACTAGGATTCAACTTGTATTGTTTTCCTAATTTCCTAGTTTCCTTATTTTCCTAGTTTCCTAATATTAGAGATTTTAATTTTTGGTATACATAATTTATCATGTTGAGGATTTCCTCAAGCTATTCAAAAATCCTTGATCCAACTCAAGTGACAGCACAAATGATCTTAATCCACAGAATTTATGATAACTAGTGGATAGCTTGAAGTAAATAAAAAGGAAATGCCAAGTACCTCATCACCCATCAAGTCTGAGACAACCCAAGGATTTCCTAGCTGAATTTGCCAAGATTCTTGCGCACTGGTGTTCTTAATCACAGCAACAGACTTTTAAAGATGCTTCTTGCAGATTGAATGACTTTCAGATTCAATGCAATCAAATGTGAATAACCTCCAACAAAAATAGCACAGCTATAAACATCATCTCTCCAACAGCCTAACTTGGATAGTGCTGCTTATGCTAATGATGACCGTCTCTGTCCACTAGAGAACCAGGAAACTTTTCCCTGAAATAAATAAAGGGAATCAAATTTGATGTAGAAAATTTCATCAAAGAGATCTATATCAGTTACAAATTATAGATTGTGAAAATTGACCAAGATAGCATTATCATAGAAATATTAATGAAAAAAAAAAATCTGATTGATTTGGGCAGTTTGGAATAACCTCTCCTGCTAGTGGAGATTCTTCACTAAAGTTTTTCATATCATGGTGATTGCAATTATTTTTGCCAAAATGAATACCAACAACCAACAACAAAAAGGTAAAGAAATCTCCCATTCACATCTTTTTCAACCTCATGAAAGCTATCATCTGAAGCCAATCTACAAGATGAATTCCTCCTATCAGAATCACAGTTTTGATTACCGATTACAAAATTTATGCTCTCCGATACGATGCATGAGATGCTTTCTCCATGGATTTCTAGATCTTTATGTTTCCCTAATTGATTTGAAATCTACAAACATCAAAATTGATCAAACCCTTGGGACTGCCGATCGGCTGCAAGATTAGGGCTTTCTCACATTTAAAAGTAAGTCAATGTCTTTACAAGATCAAAAGCATAATTTCTCAAATCTCAGAAATCAAATCATGATATGAAGACACTATAGATGGTACTTACCTCGCCGATTGTGTGTTTCCCACAATTTCATGTGGCCCCAAAGAAGAGAACCGAATGCTGTCTTCGAAGAGTAGTGGTTGGTTCCCTTCCCCTCATAGGTTTTATCAGTAAAGTCATCAATCCCCAGACCCACAGTTGCTGCCACTTGTTCAAAATGCATACACGGTGACGATGAGCACCACGTATCACACGGATTGTATGATCTGGGTTTTTCTTCCATTTCAAATTTAAAAAACTGAAAAGAGGGAAACTGCAATATAGTAATTAAAATAATAACAAATCAGGACAATTATCAATAACAACAAAGAGCCTAGGAGCCATCAATGCACTCAATTTGCATATAGAAGCAGACACTACATGATTTTTAAATAGCCAATACAGAACCAATATATAAATTAATAATTAAACCATAGAGAAGTTCAAAAATCAAATATTCTTGCTAAGAATTTAAAAATCAAGTCTCTTATGCTCTACGCTTCTTGACAATAATTTGATATCATCAATTCAGCATTCAATTTGATTTCAAGGTCATACCAACTTCAAGATCCTAAGAGCCAGCCATGTACTCAATTTACATATAGAAGCACACACTACATGATTTGCAGATAGCCAATACAGAACCAATATCCTAACCATGGGTGACATAAATAAATAAATTATAGAAAACTTAAAAAATAAAAATCCTTGCTAAGAATTTAAAAATCGAGTCTCTTGGGTTCTATGCTTTTTAACAATAATTTGATATCATCTATTCAGCCTTCAATGTGGGTTCAAGATAATACCAATTTCAAAATTGCAATTTGATTAATGGTGCTATTTAAAAATTACAGCATCCAATAATCAAACTACCTATGCACATGATAATTGAAAATGCATACACTTTGAACCTTAATAGTTGAGAAATGGATATTGGATACTTCATGAGATTCCAGGCTAATCTCTTTGTTAAAAGAAGAAAGCATACAGGAGGAGAATGGGCTGCTACTCTTGTTATGTTGCCCAAAATTTTTTGGTGAAAAAGTTAAAGGAAGTGCTATGTAAGTTAAACTTAAATTTACAGTATATATACACTAATCTTGTTCCACAATTTGACCTGAATCCATGATAGTAGGAATCAATGAAATCAATACACTAGAGTACTTGACGATGCAGTAGACACCACTAAGAACCAACTAGGAAAACATAACACTGAAAAATAGAAAACATGCATAACCAATACATTATCCTTCAATATTAATTTGTTGTTTTTGACTTAAAGCGGAGGACAAATTTTTCTTCCCAATCTCAGCACTCCTCAACTAGCAAAATCTACAACAAAATACAACAACAAAGATGTTTTGACAAATAAAAAAGATTTAATTTCAGCATCATTAACTCCCGATGATTATCACATCCCAGGAACTTCTTGCATCAAAACTAGTAGCCACCATTACTTATTTCAATTGTTTGCCTTTGACTGGTCATACTCAAGGTAGAAGAATCATCGACATTTACTTGATTTAAGGTACTCTTCAGCCCTCTTCAAATCCATTGTAACATTAAAAATATACAACCATATGATGATTAAAGACGAATATTCAACAATGCCATAACAAATGACAGCTATACAACCCATACCATAAATTACCCCAAAATATAATATTCAGACTCATTGTGCTAACATGAGGGGGAAATGAAATTAAGTGATTAACATGAGAAACGAAAATGATCCTCATTGGAGGCCCACAATCCCAGCAATAATACGAGACCATAGACTGAAACATCACAAAAAAAAATAAAATTACGGTGCAGAAAAAAAGTCTCAAAACATGATCAGATGCGCCATAGTAATGATAATACAAAATAAAAATAGAAAAAAAAATGAAATGCAAGCATGCCTGGGAAGCTTGGTGAGTAGTATATCGATAGAGATTCGTCGAAGTCCTAAACTTTGCCCCTCCCCATTTGTTGGCAGTGATGGTAACGCATCAAAGCACACGCACATAGCGAAGGAATGGAAGAAAGGGTTACCCTCTTGCGAATAGCGCCCTAATATATGATGATCCACAACACACTGTGCAGTGCCGTATTGGCTATCTTTTTTCTTTTCCACTTCCTGCTATTCCACTCACTACTGCAAAATTTCATTCTTTTCACTTCATTTTGCATCCAGAAGCATGTGGAAAGTTTCCTCTCAAGTGCCACTTTTGTCCGGATCGATTATTAATTTTTCAGTAGTTCATACAAATTAAATTTATTAATTATTAAATACTTATCTTCATTATTTATGTGTTAATATTTTTTATATAAAAGCTACTAGTAAATATGTCCGTCCATTACACTAGATTTGTTTTATTTTTATTAAGTTAATTTATTTTTAAATATAAAATATATAATTTAAATATAAAAATAAAAAATTTAATAAAAAATTATTTGTTAAAATAAATTTTTACTTAAAATATATATAATTTAGTATTTTCTAATATAGAAAAAGAGTATATATTTTTTTAAATATAAAAATAAAATTTATATTGTTTTATGATATTATAAATCATTCATCATTATAAAATTTTAAATAAATAATTATAACAATAAATTATAAATATAATAAATTTTTTAATATAAATTATAAAATTTAAATAAAAGACTTTATAATTTTTTATTTATATATTTATTTATATTTATTGAATTAAATTTATATAATAAACTATTTATTTATAATTATAATTTAAAATTATTAATAAAATTTTACTATATAATTATTAAAGTATAATATCATATTTTAAAAAAAAAAACATATCAGACTAATATATACAAAAATAAGTTGTATTTATTCAATTAATGTATGAAATTTTAAAAATTTACTTTCAATATTAATATCTACAAAATTATATGTTAATATTTAAAAATAAAAACATATTAAATTTTTTATATATAAATAAAATTACCATACAAATTTATTGTAAATAAAAATTAATAATAATATAATATATATTCTGAATTAAAAGTTTATTTGATAAAAAAAATATAGAATTGATTTTTTTTTAAATGATTAAATTATTCTATATTTTTTATAAGTTAAAAAAATTAATACTGATTGAAATTATAAATAAATTAATTTTATTTAATAATTAAATATAATAAAATTATATTGTTTGAGTCATAAAATTAAAATAATAAATTTTTTAATTTTTTATGTAATTTTTAAAATTTTTAAAAATAATTACTATGATTTATTTATCATTTATATTTTAATTAAGAATTAATAAATAATAAATATATCTATAAATTAATTTAATAATAAAATAATATTTTAAAAAATTTATTAAAAGAATAAATATTAATTTAAATAAAATTTAAAAAAAATGTTATATAAAAAGAAACATGTAGAGTGAATTAAAAATAAGTAAAAAAATTATATTATTATTAAGTCTATAATTATTTTAAAGATATATAAATATAACTTTAATATAAACACATTAAAATATTATATTGCTATTAAAAGAGATAGATATGTTCTAACTATTTTGAAGTAAATCAGGTAAATTTGAGATTTTATTTTAGTTTTTAAATATATTTTTCTGTTTATCTCTCTGATAAATTACCTAATTATACAAAAATAGGTCAATATTTAGTGAATTTAATTTAAATTTTTTAAAATTAAAAAATGTAAAATTTTAAGAATATAACACAATAAATAATTATATTAATAAAAAATAATTTGTATTGAATTCATATTTTTATTTATAATATTTGTATTTTGATTTATATCTTAAAAACTAATTGTAAGTCTATAAAATGACTAAATTTTTCTATTAAGCACTACTGTTCTCTGCGTTTGTAATTTAATGCTATCAAAAAGCTTTTCAAATCAAAAATCCTAAACTCTAAACTTATATTTCAATCTGAAAATTTTAAATAATCATATAATTAGAATATGAAATTATAATAAATAAATATAATTTGATATATTAATATAAAAATAATTTATAATATTTTAAACTCTAACCTCTGTCTTTCTTGGATTGAAATCTTTTTATAATTGTAAAGATTTAACTTCATACTCATAAAACATTAAAAATACGTAAAGAAAAATGTTCGTTAACTTTTGAAACAAATGATATATATATAGAAATTAAATATTATATTTAAACTTAATTTAGAGTTAAAACTTTATATTTTTTTAACTTATTTATTCATTTCGATATAAAATTATTAAATATGAAAACAGAGCGATTAAATCATATTCATTTTCATTGTTATGATATTTAATAATGTTTAATTTATTTCAATTATTATAATTAATTAGTTTAGTTTCGAGAATTTTGAATTTATCATCATCATTATAACATTTTATAAAAAAAATTGCAAAAAATTATTAAGTATAAATCTTGTTAATTTTTTAATTTAAAAAATTAAATTTGTCATCATAATTATTATAATATAAAATATAAATAAAATATTATCTATGTTAATAAGTTATACATAATTATGATATATCAATTCTTATTAAATTATTTAAAAATAAAATAAAATAATAGAAGAAGAGAAAAAAAGAGTAGTTAAAATTTTTTAAATTAAGATTTAGATATAAACTAAAAGAGAAGATTGATTGTATTTATTATAAAAATTAATCTTTATATTAATTAAAATTATAGATGTTAATATAATATAAAATTTATGAATCACATATAAGATTTGTCTAAGAACAAAGTCAATACATAATATATATATATATATATAATAAAATGACAAAATTATTTTATAAAAGACTTTAATATTTGGTGACATTTTACTTTTTAAATTCTACATAATATTAATAATATTTATACAATACCGTAATAAAAATGGTTCAATCTTCTAAATCTTCTATTATTTTCTTTTGTTCACAATTTTTTACTTTGTCTTCCTCAAGTTACAACTTAAAAGAAAATATCAAATATAAATTACTGTATGATCTAAGAAATTTGAACAATACATTATAAATTTATAATTTATACATTAATTTTGTCTTTCTTTTTGGTAAATTTGGTGGTTTTATAGTTAAAAATATAGGTGAACAACTTATTGCCAAGTTATTTTCTTTTATTTTTGTATTTGTATTGTTTACATCTTCTCCATTCTCAATCTATATTATATCAAACAATGAAAACAAAATTATTTATCATCGTATTATAAACATTATAAATAAAATTAATAAAACTCTAATTTAATCTCCTATGTTATCTTCAATGTCGGTTTCACAATTTTATTTGCAGTGAAACTTTGTCTTCCACGACTTTTAAAATAAGTACTTATTTTTATTTGAAAAATATATGAAGTGCCAATAATCTTTACAAGTTATGGGGACAACTTTAACCTTTCACTATCACTCTTAAAAAAATTATCACATAAAAATAGTTATATGTTTTAATATAATTTATTTCTATAATCAATCATTTGATTACATTTTTTAATAAGTTAGAACTTAACACATTTACTTATAATTCCATATGTTACAATAAGATCTTTTAACTTTACTTGTAATAATTGTTCAACAACTTCATCAAATAAGACAAATATAATTAAATTTGTAGAATCTTTAACATCAAGCTTAAGACAAAATATGTAATGTATATAAATTAAGATATTTAAAAATTATAATACATAGTGATAAATTAATTATCTTGTCATTAGATACTCAACATCTTAATAACATGATTCACATTTACAATTTGTAGATGTGAAAGAAACTTTCTTCTTGCAATGGGAGTAAGAAATATAATAGCAATCATTTTTAAGTAATATATCGTTCAAAGCTGCAATACAACCAATTACGACATTATAAAATTAATTAAAAAATTAGTTTAAAAATTAAATAAGAAGAACAAAGTATAAGAGAAATTAATTTTAACATAACACTCTTTGATTTTTCCATTATCAAAATTTCATATATATTTTTAAAATTTTCTAATTTAAGAAGAGTCGTAGATCTTGTATTATCAACATTGTGAGCAACATGCATGTCATTAAAATTTCTACAACAAAGTGATAATGAATAATTGAAAATGTGGTTAAGATAAAAAAAAAATAAAGATATACCAATAATTAACATAACAGAGAGATTTTAAATAATTTTAAAACCTTAATGAATATATAAATGAGTAACTTCTGGTATGTCAATATTGACATAAATCTTTGTTGATCTTGACGTAAAAATAAAAATATTACCTATAATATATACATTCATATTTTTATAATTAAATATGAAGCATACATATAAATAATTTATCTAAATAAAATATTTTTAAAATATAATAATACAATTATCTCGAAATTCTTTTACAATAGTGGATATAAATTTTGCAACATTGATTTTTGAATCCTTAGATACATTATCTTTTATTATTTCTTCAAACAGTGCAATATAATCATCTCATAGCGTTACTTTCACTTTATTTTTCCTGCAAATGATTTAACCAAAATTATAATATTTTTCAATAATAATAACTTTAAAATAACTACTTATATCTCATGTCATTAACTTTGCCTTCAGCATTTATTCTTTCTTCAATAAAACTTTTGTGCATGACCACTTCACTCACATCTATACTTAAAATAAATAATTTTAAGAAACTAATTGATAAATTAAATATAAATTATATAACAAATTTTAGTAAAGTTTTATTGTTTAATACCTATTAAGACATTATTTCTACAATGACTTTTTAGATCTTTAAACTTCACAAACTCAAAGATATAGAAATGAATTATATTATCATCATTTAATTATTTAATAATAGTTGTGACATAGAATTGCAACATGAAATGATTATTTTCAACCACAACAAATTTATCTTTATTCTTTGTCTCTAAAAAAATTGTTATAAAGTATATTTTTCCTTCCTTTAATATACATTTGAACCTATAAGAAATATATGGTCCTATGAAAACATGTATGTAATTGTTTTATAAAAAAGAAAAATTAATCAATTAGAAAATTTAAAAATAAACTAAGTTAGTTATCATAGAATAACACATAGAAGACAACATAATTATAATTTATTAGAAAATAATAAATTTTTAATAAAAAAATCAAATCTAATACATTTTCATCAATTAGTATCATACCGGTACTAATTAATTATTTCTTGTGATA